CCGCCCCGGCTCCCCTCACCCCGTGCCAGGCTGCTGGCGGCCCTGGCTCCCCTCAGCGCCCCCCCCACCCCCACCCAGGCTGCTCATTGGTTTTGTCTCTGCAGTCCTGAGGATTAACAGCACAAACTCGGGTAACACTTCAGCCACAGTCCCACTTCCACTTCAGGAGTGGTTAACCAGAATGAGAGTTTCACCACCTCCCTGCCTGTAGTGGCTTCAATCTACAGCGCTCAGATCGCAGCCTCCTGAGCAGCTGGGTTGCGGGTGTGAGCCACCAAGCCGGGCACTGTACTTAGCTTTGTTTGTTTTTCCTGGCTGTGGGCCCTGCCCCTCAGCGTTTGCGCTCAAAGCTGGCACTTGCTCCACTACTCTGAGCCACAGCTCCACTCGCAGCTTCCTGGTGGTTAGTTAGAAATAATAGTCACACTTTCCTGTCAGGGCTGTTTTGAACTACCGTCCTCCGATCTCAGGCTCCTGAGTAGTACGGTTTGCAGGTCTGAGCTACCAGTGCCCTGCTTGTATTTAGGTTTTGGTTTTTTTTTCTTGTAGCGATACTGCTCAGAAAGGTTACCGTTACATCAGTTATTTAGTTAGCTTTTGAGAAAAAATCCTGCTTGCTTTTCCAGGTCCTCCTATCTCTGCTTCTGAGTCACTAGGATTATAGACTCATATCGCCAAGGCCTGGGCCGGTTGTCCAAATTCTATCTTCTCAGCAGTCGAGATCCATGCCCAGGCCTGGAGAAGGGGAGCTTGAGAAACTTCTAGGATGTGTCAAAGAAAGGCGTTCTCCATTCCAAAGTCCTTGCAAGGCCGGGAGGTGTGGCTCACGCCTGTCATCCTACTCAGGAGGCTGGGATCTGACGATCACGGTTCAAAGCCAGCCCGGGCAGGAAAGACCGTGAGACTCCCTTCTCCAATAAACCACTGGAAAACTGGAAGTGGCGCTGTGGCTCAAGTGGCAGAGCGGCTCACCTTGAGCCAAAAAGCTCAGGGAGGGGCTGGGTGGCTCAGTGGTAGAGCGCTTGCCTAGAGTGCATGAAGCCCTGGGTTCGATTCCTTAGTACCACAGACACAGAAATGGCTGGAAGTGGCACTGTGGTTCAAGTGGTAGAGTGCCAGCCTTGAGCAAAACAAGCTCAAGGACAGCGCCCAGGCCCTGAGTTCGAGCCCCAGGACTGGGGGAAGAAAAATAAAAACCAGAAGTCCTGGAAAGTTCTTTCCACTTGCACGTGTCCGTGATGAGCTCGGCTGGCGGGAGCGGCGCCCAGGCCTCGCGAGCCCGGCCCGCCGGGCCACGCCCACTCCCAGTTGGCCAATCCCCACCACAGTAGGAGACTTCATTTGAATGTACCCGCCCCTTCCGGAAGTCGCCCTGCGATTGGCCTCGCTGCACCCCAGTCTGGACCGCAGTCCGGGCCTGGACGCTGGACTCTGCGCCACGATGGATCTGGGGCTCCGGGGTCGCCGGGCGCTGGTCACCGGCGCGGGCAAAGGTGCGCGGGTGCGGGGAAGGTGGGCG